ATGCTGCCCGCCGCTCCGCCCCTCCCGTCAGTCACCCGCGGGGCCTGTCCGGTGTAAACGTTTAACGGAGAAAGTACCGGTAGATGGCACCCGAGAATGCGCGGTTTCGGCCCGGGGTTTTGTGGGAGCCGTACGGCCTTTTGTTGTCCTGCAAATGGCGTCCGCCGTGCCGCCTCTGCCTCAGGTTCCTCGGCTCCCGAGGCGGGCCCTGCTGGCGGCGGCTTGTGGTGAATTCCTCCGCTCCCTGCGAAACCAGGCGCTTGGCTTTCTAAACAGGTAGCCCCCCAAAAATGAGGGAGCTGAATTGTAAAAAAATTTCCTGGCTATGGGCAGCGTGCCGTTGGGAGACTTACAGGAGCGGCTATAGGACTGGGGAAAAGCCTCTGGGGCCGTTTGCTGTGTGAGGGAGCGGAGCAGGGCGGTTCTGCCTGGGCAGCAAAGCTGACCCCAGGGCTCAGTCCTCTGTAAAATGTTTTAAGTTTTGCAACAGAGGCGCTGTTTCCTCTTTTTGGCTGGGAGAGGGACTCCATGCTGTACAGGCTGGTTGGAGTTTATTTAGAGACAAGAAGGGTCCTGTTAGTCCTGTAGTCATGGATGGAGTAGCTGTGCTCCCTCAGAGTTTGGCCTATATGGGGATAAGGCAGCAAATACATACAGAAGTGCCACTGTGCTTAAGAGCAGTTTCATCTTAAAACTATGCCAGCCCAACCTAGTTATTACTGGAAGCAACAGCAGTCTGGCTTTTCTTTCTATCCCCACCCTTGCCACCATCTTCCCTGGTGCCAGCTTTGACCTTCGTTTTATAGTAGAGTGAGCTGCTTCAGGGAGTTAAACCAGGAGAAACCCATCCACTGCTCACTTCTGGTTTTCCTGAGTTTGTTTTCTGCCAGTTTGGTGCTTTGAATCAGTTCACGGCATGGTCAGCTGAGCAGCAGCACAGGGCATTAGCACGAGCAAGGGGCTATAGACTGAGAGAGGGTAGGATCTCCTAGTTTGCGGACAGCTATGTGTATGTTCATTGGCTTAGCTGTAAAGTGAAGCTGCACAGTACAGTAACTATGGGGAAAGTTTTGGGTGGGCAGCAATGTTCAAGTGACAGGGCATCTGTTTGGAAATGAGAGCAAACCTTTATCTTGTGTCACAGAAACGAGGAAGAGAGGGAAGCTAAGGATCTCACTTAAGGATTATTTATTTTATTAATTAGCAGCTTTTGCGGGTTTACCCTGAGCCTTTCTTCTTCCCTTTCCCTCGTCTCTAAAGTTCTCTTTGTCTTGAAGCTTTGGACCATGTTTTGAACCCTTGCTATGCCTTGAGCAGGGCTTACTGTTTGTCAGGGCACCCAAAGAAGGTCATTTAGCTTTGGGTGGAGGCTGAATATGCTGTTGTTTAAGTTTTCAGAGAGAACCCCCAGATAAATGAATCCAGCTCTTTCAGCTGCTGCCAATTCGTGGCAGAAGGGTTACATAAACATACTCTAAACCTCAAGGGTATTATAAATAAATCTTATAAAATATTAACTTTTGTTAATCTCTGAATGAACCAAAGTGGTGCTAAACTGATTTAAACCGTTAGTAAGAAAAGAATAAACCAGGTGTCATAAAAAACAATAATCCTGACCTCTTTCTCGGTGTGCTGACATTTGTTTCTTATTGTTCTGTACCTTTACTGTTCTCATTAAATTACAATTTTTTTTCTTTAAACAAATATTCATGTCATGTATAGTTACTGAAAAGCTTCTTCAAGTCGTATTGATTCTAGTAAGTTAGCCGTTCGTGTTGTCAGTGCAGTGGGAGTAATGATTTGGCTTAATGTTTTAGTGAGTTTTTAACACTGTACATGAAACTTTCAGCTTAATAAGGGGTGTCTACAAAGTTTTTTGAATGATCTCATTTTGTTGGAGAGCACATTTCGTCACCTTTTTCAGTATTGCTCTCAGAAGCTGAAAGACGATTGCCTGTCTCTCTGATGCGTACTTCTCGTTGAAGTATTTTGTCCTGCTAACTCCAAAGATAAAACTCTGAAATCCTTGGGCAGGAATCCTAGTGACAGCAATGGCTGGTTTAGGTGGAGATAATTCAGTTATTGCTCTAACCTGGAATTTCTGGGAAAAAAAAAAAGGGGGTTGTGTCAGGAAATACTGATCAGTTATGGCCAGTCCTTGTTAAAAGAACATCCAGATATTATTTGTCAAGATATAAATGAGAAAAAGACCATCAGCTGTCCCATGATAGCTAAACAGAGGCTGAAGTTTAGGAGGTCTATGTATATTCAAGTGCTTGTACCAAAAAAGTCTTCATAGAGAGGAGAATGGGGGAAGAGAGAGACCTGCCTCAGAATATTCAATGGCTGGAGGCTGAGGTCTGCAGTGGGATATGGGAGACTGGCAATGTCTGTAGCAATGAGAGCAGAAATGTGAACAGTGATCTGACAGGTCTGTTCTCTACGCTCATGTGGGCAAGGTTATATTCTCCCTCTCTCATCTTCCTCTTCTGAATAATCCTGGATTCATTCCAGTATGAGAGTTAAGGAAAAAATCTGTGTGTAGTAACAATAGTGTTTCCTGTCCGTTTCCATGCCACAGCAAACAGGCATATGCAGTTATTTTTACCTGGACTACTAAAAATATTCAACCAAAAATCTTTGTTTAAAGGAGTACACTACAAAAACATGTCTAACTGTAGTTGTTCCACTCCTGGCCACAGAATAATACATTAATGCATGTGGTAACAAGCACTGGGCCACTTTAAAACACAGTTTACCCTTTTTCTGTGGTTTAAAAATCTAAGTCTTCAATTACAAAGTAGACTGAAAGTTCCAAAAGGATGCTGGAGTGAAGGAGTTTCATCTTTGTTGCTGCCACCTTTGTTTATTTTTTTGTAGTTTTGTCTGTAGATAAATGTGCTGGTTAACTTTCATTTCTTTCTTGTTAACATTGTGCTCTTCCAGTCCCCAGTTTCAAGCACAAATAAAGGTTGAATGCTAACTGGTGCTATGCTAACAGCAGAGGGAAACAAAGGTCTCGGTGATTTTTGGAGGATGAGGACCACTGCATGCTTCCTTGGCTGTGCACTGCAGGACGGAGCTGGAGTGACTGTTCTTCAGAGTGAAAGGCAGCAGCTCTTTTTTCCTTATCCACCAACACCTTTGCCAACCGAGGGCATGCTCCACTGCACTCAGTAGGAATTGCTGCTCATCTGATATTCTCAAGCCTCCCGTGGTTTTATCTGAGATATGGGTTTACTCCGTGAAACGGATGGACCTGTCAATGCGCTTTACATACGCTGTCAAGTAAAGGCCAGGTATTACCAATTTTCAATTACTCCTGATTCAGACTTGTGAGTCAAACAGTGGGTATTCAGGTCATGCAACTTTTGTTGTATGATACCTTTTGATACCTATCTCTTGTTATGATAGTCTCTTATCTCTTTTTAGCCAATGGAGTAAAATAGGGCCTTCTACAGGGAGTAGTTCAGAATAAGGACACAGCTTCAGCATTCAGATTGTGCTAATTAACCTCTCTCTGTGGGTTGTAGGTTACTGACCCTCTCTGACCAGGAACCTCTCCACAGCTGTGCCACTTTCTCTGAATGCACAAACAGGCAGAAGCAGAACTTGGGGCCAGATTTTCAAGGGCATAGCGCATCCTAACTGACCAGCTTCCACTCTGACATCAAAATAAGACCTTGAGAATTAAAAAGCCTTCGCTGTGAGTCTAATGAGTTCCTTTGAAAATCCTGCTCTCTCTGGGGACAGTGCACTCTATTCAGAATTTTGTCTCTAGTTTTTTAAGAACCATCCTAAAACCTCCACACTGTCATGAGATGACTTACCTGGCTGCCCTTGCGCAGAAGTGCAGGCCCCTGCAAACACAGTTTGGTTCCACATTGTTGCCTGGGGTGACATGCATACAATATCAGATGCAAATACAGTGAGTATATGAATGGAATTCACAAAGTGTAGGCTTTTAAGATAGAGCCAAGTCCTGCTGCTGCTGCTTTGCATGCAAATGTAATTGTAATGAACTCTCGGTTTTGTACATAACCCTTATCTTGCACCTGTTTTCATCTTTGTTGTAAAAAGCTCAGGGTTGGCTTGCCAAATGATACGCCCCATCTGTGCTACCTGGATAAACAGTGTTAGCAAGAAACATGCAAACTGAAAAGCCACAAGTTCTTGACAGACAGGTTAAGGTCTCTCATCAAAGATGAGAGAGAGAGAGGAAGCTGGGGGCATGCAAACTCGTTTTTGGCACGCAGGTGAAGTCAACTGCAAATATTAGAAGGATTTTAATGAAATCCACCGAGTGAATATTTTTTCACCAGAGCCAAAATAGAACTAAATGTTGTGTCTGCAGTGTTGGAGAAGGTGTATTTGTTGTGAATGCTGTTCTTGTTTATATCTTTTTGCTTGGACCCCTGCAAACCAGGCTAGCACTCGGAAGGAGGGAAGGTGAATAATGGGGAACTGCATCACTAGGACTTGTCCCTGACATGTCTGGAAAGAAATGACAGAAGATACAGCAAGGTGAGAGCGCCCTTGGGCATTTCGGCAAAGAGGCAACAGTAGGGGAGAACAACTTGTTCCAGAACCTTATCATGTTCTACTGAGATCTCTACATTTTCCTATGGTTTTTTTTTAGGAACTTGCAAGAGGGAGCACTGTTGAGTAATTGAAGCACAAGGCTGGCAGCTTCGCTTCTGAAGTCCTGTCACTGAGTTCCTGCTGCAACACATGTACTGCCTGTGACAGTCGCATCTGAGAGTGGCTGGCACTTCATAGTCCCTGGGCCAAGTAATTTTAACTGGCTTGCATCTTTTAGCGTTCACATCTCAAGGCCTTTTGGGTCATCATTACGCATCATGACTGCATCCACAGGCCTGTTTCCATCTTTGCTACCTGGGATGGAGGAGATGAGACTGGCAGCACTCGGTGTGGCTGGGTATGGACCACTCCCTGTTCTGCCTTTCATCCTCTCCCTTGCAGTCCCTGCACAGGCGTGCTCGGTGCTTTCTGCTTTTGTGTGTCAGAGCAAGGTAAAGGGTACAACTTGGCATCATGAGCACCCTGTCCTGGACCTTGAGCTGTAAGAGGGTTTGCCCAACGCCATTTCACCAAAACAAGAGGCAGAAGTAGGGCCCACATTCCTTTTGCTGCCTGCCACATGGGGTCTGTGTCTGCAAGGATTAGGAAGGGTACCGCCCCTGATCATTCGGTGAGGATAATTCATATGCTGGTTACCCTGGCAGAGTCCATGATGATGGTGTCTTTTGGCACTTGGATACGTTCCACCAGGCACAAGCCAGGAACTTCTGCTGTCTTCTGCTGTTTAAAAAAACAGTGACCTGAGGGGATCCCTCTTCATTACAGTCAGTTCAGCCTGACCCCTGACCTGTCCAGGAACTTTAACCAGGCTCCAAACTCTTGCAGGGTTGAGTGTGCTGCCAGGCAGCTGAGCAAAACATTACAGATTTGCTGGCAGTGCTACAGCATCCCAGGCACCCTTGCTGTCTCGAAGGCCCTTGTAACAGCTTGTAAAAGGGCACAGAGAAAACTTTCCATGCGGAACAGGCACTCCTGGGGTGTTGCAGGCCAGGCAGCGTGCCAGTCTGGGCATGAGACAATGCTTTGGGAGCTCACCTGTAACCAAAAGCTGGCAGCAACGTGTTCAAAAGTTATAGAGCTGCAAGGATGCAGATGTGGATTCATTCCATCTTGACTTTTGCTCTCTGCCTCCCAGTGCCAGCCTCCTGCCCTACTCGAGGTATGAGAGGAGGCTCCCCTCCTTTCTCTCCTTCCTCCATCCCAGCCCCTTGTTGCAGTCCCAGTGAGAGCAGGCCGTGCAGCCAGCTGCTTAGCAGGAGAGAGCCCCAAACCCTGCAAGCTGCTTTTTGAAAAAAAGTTTCTTTTTTGAAACGCACTGTGCAATGGTGCAAGGCTGACAACCCAACTGAAATATCCTTCAATGATTTTATACAGTGCAGACCATAGGGAACAATTGAAGGGACAGGACCACAGAATACAGTTAGAGACACCCCTGTAGGCTCCTGAGAAAGTGCAGCACTTTATTTATGCTCATTTTAAAATTATTGTTGAGAAGATACAGGGTTTCCTGGGGTTGGTCCCTGAGGTAAGGGGTGCTGATGGAAAAGATGCTATGACAGCTGGACCTACCAAGATAATGGCTCCTATAGCCATGCATAGAAACGGGTCTTGGGTGCCTAAGAATTTTTCCTGACAAAATCTTGGGCACTTACAGCTCCTCAGATCAGCAAGCAGGGCCTGAATGTCCAGTCAAACTGTAGTCTGCCTAGTCTTTACTTTAGGCAACCATGTCCCCTTCTGAAACTCAGACCAGTTCCTCAGAGGTCACACAGAGCGCTTCCACCCTGTCACATTGGCCTGCTCCATCTCGCGTTGCGGTCCTGCTCTTTCAACCGTCCACATGAGCATTAGCGTTTGCATGTGTTCCCCTTACACGGCAAAAGGAAGCTCAGGCATGGGGTAGGGAACAGCTCTAGTGGGCTCTGCTTTGAGCAGGGAGGGGTGGACTAGATGATCTCCAGAGGCACCTTCCAGCCTTCGAACAGAATCCACCGATTCCCTCATTCTGTGACTGTGAAAAATGTAAATTGATAGTACCAGTCCTCACTGGATCTACTGAAAGCACTTGGCTATCCTTGGGCAGAGTACACACAGTGCCATAGAAACAGAAAGTACTGAAGAAGCCTGAAGGGGAAACAAGGAAGCTGACGTTTTGGTTGTGGTCACCAAAGTAACTGAAGTAACTTATGAAGTGCTTCAGGGAAGTGGACAGATAGATAGTAAAATATCCATGTAGCCAAGGAATAATGCCAAATTTATTTTCAAGGATTTGTTTTGTTTTTGTTTTTTTTTCCTTTCCATCCCCTAGCCCTGAGCATGTGAGGAAGCTGCAAAGCAGAGCCATCACAGGCAGGGAAACTTCACATCATTCAGTAGTTAGCATCCTTGCTGGTGTGCAGATGGAGTTGCTACTCCTCAGAAAGAATCTCTCCCAACTCTGCTTGGCCAAAGAGGCCTAGGAGAGGGGACACACTTGGGCAGGAACTGGGAGGATCTTCTGCAGCGGACTCCAGGGCACAGACATACATGGGATTTGTAATACTGAAATCTGTGGCAGTAGGTAGAAACATTCCCCCCAAAAGTGCCCCTTATCAGCTAGGGTAAGTAAGCTAAGTACAGCAGTTGCTGGAAAAATGATATGCTGTGCAACTGTCCTGCTTTTCACTTCCCCACATTTTTCTGGTGATGTGGGACCTCAAAGCTTTTCTCAAACACTTTTTAAAAACCAACTGTTTTTAAATCCACAAACAGTCCAGAGTTCAGTTCTGAGCGTTATAAATGGTCGTGCTAATTAAATGCAGCTAAAATAGTGAAAAGAGTTGCAGGGCAGACGAGATCAGTGACAAAACACCCTTAGAGAGCACAGAAGGGGAAAAAGCGCTGATGTAGAAAGGTGATTTATGGCAATTCTCTGCTTGCTGAAACAGAAGAATTATTGAGAACCTTAAGGAGAAAGGAGCTTTAGGTTGGAAGATTGACGACTAAAAACCATGGGGAAGTAATCCTTTCTGCATCAGTGTGGCAAAGCTTCAGTTCTGGGAGGCAGGTCAATGTAGGTCAGCACTTGCACTGGAAATGCTAAGCTGGGGAACTCCTCTGGTCGCCTTCTTGCCCCCATTGCTCCTCCCCACCCCCTCTTTGACAAAGGGGAGCCAGGGCATTTTGGTGTTGTGATTTCACATACTGAGCATTCAGCTCCGTGGTCTAATTCCCAACCAAAGACTCCAGCACTCAGCAGCCTTGATGCAAAGATAAAATAAGTTACTCTGAGAATGGCAATTCTTATTTTAGCCTAGAGTTAGCAAGTTATTAAATGTGGCTGGCAATGGGATTTGGCATCTCTGAGTGTAGGGGGTCCTTTTCTCACCTTTCATCCTATATAGGCCATTATCATCTTTTAAGTTAAAAACATTTCAAGATCAATCTCATGCACACACACAGCGGTGAGTTACTTTGTGGCCTCCAAGTAGTGGCATTAAAAATAAAGCAAGGAGAAACTTTATTCAAAGTGCCATTTTTACACTTCCCTATAATCTGAAAACATTGTGTGAAAACACCATCACTTCATAGTCTACACAGTAAGTAATATTCCAGCCTGATCTGTAATTCCATTGCAACGCAGGATGAGAATCTGGGAAGAGTTGATTTTTGAAACTTTTAAATTTCTTTTGGATGAATGGAGTTACATATTTGAACAATCATACTGTTGTGTTTGGACAGTTATATTACTACATGACCATCATAGGCTGTAATTAGGCATAGTTGTCTCACTTTAAAGATACCATTTTCTTTGTTTCAGGAAGTTTCAGCCAGCAATTACTGCAATTGGGTGGCATTTCAATAGCTGGTCTCCAGCAAACTCCTATGATGAGTCACAGCATCGGCAAAACATGGCAAGTGTGGTGGTGAAATGTCATGTAATGGCAAGTCAGCGTTTTCTGCTAATATTTTAATGACAACTGTCTTAAGTAGACCAAGTTTTCAGAAAGTGTTTGTTATTCACACACAATGATCTGGGTTGCAAAAACACCCTTGGAGGATAGAGCTAATAAATTAAGCAGCTAGTTAGTATAAACTCCTTCATTTAATTTTATTGTGTGGAAAGTAGCATAGTTTTCTCGCATGAGAAAGGCACTGCTGTTGTCTGGAATGTTTCCACGTGGCCCTGCGGCTTTCAGATCGCTCCAGTCAAAGGTGTCAATCTGCTGCACTTTCACTGTCATTGACTTGTATGTCTGTATGTATTTCACAGATTGGCTTTATCTGAAAAGCAATGCATAGCTGTAAAGTACTAGTCATTAATCTGGCATCATTATGTGCTGGTTTTGCATTCTAATTTCCTTTGCTTGATCATAAAAATAGTGTATTGCAAACAAAATGCAAGCTCGCTTTTTGTTTCCTCTGTTCCAGAGATGCATTTCAGAAGCTGGCTGTTGTGCTCCTTTCCATCAGAGAAGCAAGCAAGCAAACCTGCCCAGCTCAGCAAGCCACTGCACTGCTTCCTGCTCGCCATGACTAACGCAATTACACCAGAAGGAAGTTTAAAATAATTTTGTTAGCATTTGGAGCATGAGGTTCATCTTCAGCCAGACCTCAAGCCATGCTTTCCGCAGCATTTGGATCACTGAAATACTCTTATATAAGTCTAATTGACACAATTAGAAGAATGACTCCTTACAGATGTGTGTTGCTGTAGCAACCTGGGAGGAGGAAAGCCACAGTGCCCTCCATATTTAGCAAAATAATATTAATCATAATATGTAGAAGCACTTTATCCTTTTTATAAGGCACTTGCTCGGGAGCCTTAGCATGTTGCAACAAGGATCACTGTAATGGAGTCGAAATAATTTGAAGGTGAGCTAAAATGTGCTCGGTAATAACCAAAATTACATGGAGACAGAAACATAGTCAAACGTTGCCCAAACCTCCCAGGATATAGATGGAAGGATTAGCTATTCAAGGCTTTGATTCTGCTGCTGTAGGAACACTGGGGGAAGAAAAACACCAAAGGCATCCATGGAAGCAGGAGGAGGCCTAAATTGCTGAGCTTGTCTCAGGTTTATCTTACCAAAGGGCCCAGTCGTCCAGTGAGAGCACTGTGGGCAGACTTTAAATCCACCTGCCACCTCCTTTGCGTTAGAGGGACTTTGAGTTGCTCCGTGGTATTGGCAGTGGATACGGATACGTGTGCAAGTGTCAATGGGCACTGGCAGCATGGTGAAATGGTAACAGGTCTCCCGCTCCCCCTATGGCACACCAGAGCAGGAACAGCTGCTTTGCAGTATGGATCCAAATTGGTTTATTCCTGACTCCGTCTTGCCTGTCCCAGTAAACTTGCACATTTCATCCAAACAGCGTGGTCGCTTTGAAGTGTCAGAGAGACCACGTGAATTACCTGCGACTCATGACTTAGGGCTTGTTTTCATGAAATCTTTTGATTTGAAGCCAATTGTAAGTATTTTGACTATAATGATTGTCGCTTCAAAGTTACTATTTTAACTAACACCATTTTAAACTTTGTCTTGATGTCTTTGCAACTTGAACAGTCACACTGTGTTGCTACAGAGTACAAGAAAAACCTGAAGTCAATGCTGACTGGGACTGAATAATGGGATTTCCATTTCCAAGATGAAGCAGCAAATGAATAGCATGAATAAACAAGCAAGTCTGAAAAAACCCAAACATTCATCTTTTGGATGATCGTGGAAAATACAGATGAAAAGGGATCTTAAGAAGTCATCTACACCATCCCATTCTCTACAGATAGATGAATTTTATCTCTGTCATTCCTGACTAAGTTTTATCTGATCTCTAGTTAAAAAGATTTACAATCCCCAGGCAATCTATCATAATGCATCACTAGCCTTATTTTTAGAAAGTTTTTCCTAATGTCTAAACAAAGTCTATTTCTGCTGCAATGGAATGTCTTATTAATCTGCAATATCTTTATTTTTGAAGACTGCTCTCATATTTCTGTCAGGTTTCTAGAGCCATCACCCCCTATTTCTCCAATCTTCCCATCTAAGTTGTTTTTTTCTAGAGCTCTGATCATACACATTCATAGAATCATAGAATCATAGAATCGTAGAATGTTTTGGGTTGGAAGGGACCCCTAGAGGTCATCTAGTCCAACCCCCCTGCAGGAGCAGGGACACCGCTAACTAGATCAGGCTCCTCAGCGCCCCATCCACCCTGGCCTTGAATGTTTACAGGGATGGGGCCTCCACTACCTCTCTGGGCAACCTGTTCCAGTGTTTCACCACCCTCATTGTAAAGAATTTCTTCCTTATATCCAGTCTAAACCTACCCTGGTTTAGTTTAAAACCATTACCCCTTGTCTTGTCATTGCTGGCCCTACTAAAAAGATTTTCCCCATCTTTCCTATAGGCTCCCTTTAAGTACCGAAAGGCCGGAATCAGGTCTCCCCGCAGCCTTCTCTTCTCCAGGCTGAACAAGCCCAACTCCCTCAGCCTGTCCTCATAGGAGAGGTGCTCCAGCCCTCGGATCATTTTTGCCCTCCTCTGTAGCCTGATGAGTGTTTTATCTCTCCCAAGACTGGTGCCCCAAGCCAGGCTCGCTGAGCTCCAGCTGAGCTTTGCCAATACTGAGAAAAGTGGAAGAATTACTTCATGTATTTTATAGCCTCTATTTATATTTGTACCTCTCAGTATGTAGTTTGCTTTTTTTGAAGGAGTATGTAACCTCCAGAATATTTCTGCAAGGCTGCTCCCTACTCATTTGCTCCTCAGTCTGTTTTTGCAGTGGATTATCCTTGACCAGACATCTTAGATTCTTATCTTAGATTTCCTATTCTTATATAGCATCTTATTTTTCTTTTCACTAACAATCCCAGCTATGTAGCTAATTAACGGGACATTGCTCTGTTTAATAGTATACTTGTATTTCTTGCAACTTACTTTCAAATTTTTTCAAGCTTTATCACACTGTTTTGTGCCTGGGATCTATAAACCTTCAGCTTTGCTCTAATTATAGTTCCAGGGCCCAGGTACAGTATGTTCATGTTCAGCCTGCACGTGGCCCCTTCACTTATCCTATTCCAGGTAGGGTGGTGTGATTATAGCTGTTTGACCTGTTGCACCATTGGAAGCTCAGCTTGTTCTGATAATAGCGCAGTTATGTTTACTGTCCTTGCAGCTCTGGCAATTACATCTCATTACACCACCTTAATTATTCAAGCACTGACATTTGAGTGGTAATATGTCTAAAATTCAGGCACAGAGAAAAAGAGTTCTTTCAACTTCAGTGTCTTTTATTTAGCTCTTCTCTTGAACTGCCTGTTTTCTCACAACACATTCCTCAGGCTGTCACAACCAGTCATGATGTTTTTCCAAAAACCCTGGAAGACACTCTAAGGCCCTGCTTCTGCCAGGAATTTTGTTATAAAAAACATTTCTAATACTTCAGCACTTTCACTACAGCAGGATGAAAGATGGATCTTTAAAATACATCAGGTAGCATGTTCTGAAGCACTGTCACAGGTGAGGCAAATGGTTCTTAGCACATCAGCTCTTGGGGTTGAGCCCTGGGGGATACCAGGGGCTTGGAGACTGAGGGCATGACTGTCAAGTTGTCACATTCTGCCACTCATAGCTGAGAAGTGCTGTTTTGGTGTATATGTTTAAGAATTGAAGCATACTAACTTACTTCCTCTACATTTTGGACCTCACACCAGCTGAATCATCAGCTGGAAGAATCATAGAGTTGTTTAGGTTGGAAAAGACTAAGATCATCAAGTCCAACTGTTAACCTAGCACTGCTATCCCACCGCTAAACCATGTCCCTAAGCACCTTGTCTATCCATCTTTTAAATACCTCCAGGGATGGGGACTCCACCATTTCCCTGGGCAGCCCGTTCCAATGCTTGACAACCCTTTCAGTGAAGAAGTTTTTCCTAATGTCCAACCTAAACCTGCCCTGGTGCAACTTGAGGTCATTTCCCCTCGTCCTATCGCCCATTACCTGGGAGAAGAGACCAACACCCACCTTGCTACAGCCTCCTGTCAGGCAGTTGTAGAGGGGGACAAGGTCTCCCCTCAGCCTCCTCTTTTCCAGACTAAACAAACCCAGTTCCCTCAGCCACTCCTCGTGAGACTTTTGCTCCAGACCCCTCACCAGCGTTGTTGCTCTCCTCTGGACATGTTCTAGCAACTCAATGTCTTTCTTGTAGTGGGGGGCCCAAAACTGAACTGAATACCCCAGGAGCAGCTCTCCTTCATTTTATCCAAGAACCTTGCCAACTTACAGATATTTGAAAAGTTCTTAGACGGCCTGTAGTAAAAAGGGTTAAATGCAAACAATTCTCTTGCATCATCCTGGTGGAGGGCCTGACTACCTGACCACATCCTACCTATGAGGAACTTGGGCAGAGTTACGTAGTCTGCCCAAAGCCACGCAACAGGTTAACAACTAAATCTGGAACTACTGGTCTCTTGCTGTGATGGCTGGACAAGACGACCTTGCTGGCAAGTTTTACTAAAATCATTGCTGTCCTCCGGGAGCTACATTGTTATGCCAGGAGGCTATACCTTGCTTCTGTGAACACTAACTTTTCCAGACTGGAAGGTCATGTGGCAGGATCTGTCTCTTGCCTGGAGGCTTCATTACCACAAACCTTGCAGAGACTTGAGACCTCATTAATTTGTTATTGCACAGAGCCAGTTTTAAAATGCTATCTGAAAAGAGCTCTCCAGCTGACTGTAATACCAGATTGTGAGTTGCAGTGATTCAGTATGCAACGATGACTCTTGCACCTGGCTTCTATGAAATGCTTAGCCTGACAGACAAGACCTCCCACGCTATTTATTCATTCAGCAGAGCTCAGCTGGCACAGAGTGCTGGCATTCGTCATGTCTGACCGAAGCAAGAAAGGGAACCTGTCAATAAGTGCTCGGGATCC